CTCCTGAGCCGACCCTGGTTCAGCCCCTGATTTCCTGTCCCCAGAAACAGCTGTGAACATTGGCTACTCCTGCAAGATGCTGACAGATGACATGACGGAGGTGTTCGTGGTCACAGGCCACACTGTGCTGGAGGTGCGAGAGGAGCTCAGGTGAGGGTTGAGGGGCAGAGGACACACACGCGGCTAGTGTGGGGCACAGCTACAACTGGGGGAGCTGGAGATATGAAAGGGCCCTGAGTTGGGGCCCCATGGCCCCTATCCCTCCTCTCTCCTCAGGAAAGCCCGAGAGAAAATGATGGATGCATCGCGCTCTGTGGGCAATGGCTTCTCCTCCAAGGAGAAACTCTCTTCCTCCAAGCTCACTTCTGTGCTGGAAGCCATTGCAGGCGAATACGCCCTGGTCATCAATGGGCACAGCCTGGTAGGGCCCTGGGAGCACCAGGCAGGACAGGGCCCTGTGCCCGGCTGCGGGCTGTGACCTCACTGTCCCCTGCTCTCCTTGCAGGCCCACGCGCTGGAGGCAGACATGGAGGTGGAATTCCTGGAGACAGCGTGTGCCTGCAAGGCTGTTATATGCTGCCGTGTCACACCCTTGCAGAAAGCCCAGGTGGTGGAGCTGGTGAAGAAGTACAAGAAAGGTGTGACCTTGGCCATTGGTGATGGGGCCAATGACGTCAACATGATCAAGAGTAAGACATGGGGTCTGGGGGACCATGGGAGGGACAGGGCCCCCCTTGCACCACCCTGAGGCCTATGGCAGCCTCTGTCCTCACCCTTCTGTGCCCCAAAGGAACACAGTCCCTGTGCTGGGGTTGCCACTCCTGTACCCTGTGCTTCTGGCAGCCCCCTCCTCACTCCAGTCTCTCTTTCTTCTGCAGCTGCCCATATTGGGGTGGGCATCAGCGGGCAGGAGGGCATCCAGGCCGTGCTGGCCTCTGACTACTCCTTCTCCCAGTTCAAGTTCCTGCAGCGCCTTCTCCTGGTGCACGGGCGCTGGTCCTACCTGCGCATGTGCAAGTTCCTTTGCTACTTCTTCTACAAGAACTTCGCCTTCACCATGGTCCACTTCTGGTTTGGCTTCTTCTGCGGCTTCTCGGCACAGGTGAGTTGGTGGCTTCTCACACTCAGAGCTGGAGAGGGTTTGCCTGCGGGACCCCTTGGCTCAAAAGCAGGTCCTGATCCTTGAGCTCCCCTGGGGACTCATCCTGAGCCAGCAGGCACAGCCCAGGATCCAGCATGCAGTGGGTGCGAGGAGCCCATGTCAGGGTGGGCAACCCCAGGGGGCTGGGGGTGGCTCTCCTGTCCCTGCAGGTGTGGGCACATGGACTTTGGGGCTGGGTGGGGCACAGGGTGGGCAGGTATCATGCCCCCCTGAGCGCTCTGTTCCATGCAGACCGTGTACGACCAGTACTTCATCACACTGTACAACATTGTCTACACGTCGCTGCCCGTGCTTGCCATGGGTGTCTTTGACCAGGTATGGTGGGGGGCAGTGAGAGGGTGTGTGGGTGTGTGAGGAGCTGGCCCCACTCTGCTTTGTGCCCCCCTTGTGGGAAGAAGGGCTGCCTGGGTGCCCAGGCCAGGCTGTCCTTGTCCCTCTGTGGACCGTAGCCTGCCTGCGACTAAAGGGAGGTGCCCAGAGCGTCCTGTTCCCCCAGGATGTGCCAGAGCAGCGGAGCATGGAGTACCCCAAGCTCTACGAGCCTGGGCAGCTGAACCTCCTCTTCAACAAGCGGGAGTTCTTCATCTGCATCGCCCAGGGCATCTACACATCCGTCCTCATGTTCTTCATCCCCTACGGCGTCTTCGCTGATGCCACCCGTGACGACGGTGCCCAGCTGGCTGACTACCAGTCCTTTGCTGTCACCGTTGCCACCTCCCTTGTGATTGTTGTCAGTGTGCAGGTAGGGATGTGGCTGCTCAGCCCCTGTCCCTTGGGGCACCTTGGGCATCCCCTTGCCCTGCTTCCTCCTGCATCCCTCCAGATTGGGCTGGACACGGGATTCTGGACAGCCATCAACCACTTCTTCATCTGGGGTAGCCTGGCCGCCTACTTCGCCATCCTCTTCACCATGCACAGTGACGGCCTCTTCCGAATGTTCCCCAACCAGTTCCGCTTCGTGGGTGAGTCCCTGGAGGGCTGCCCTGTGCCCCCAACCACAGCAGGGTGCTGCCCCAGCCTGGCTCTCGCTGGACTCATGCTCCCCCCCCCAGGCAACGCACAGAACACGCTAGCCCAACCCACAGTCTGGCTGACCATCGCCCTCACCACTGTGGTCTGCATCATGCCTGTTGTGGCCTTTCGCTTCCTCAAGCTGGACCTGAAACCTGAACTCTCGGACACGGTGAGAGTGCGTGGCCATGGGGACGGGGACGTGGGGCCCTGTCCCTGGGGCCAGATGTCTCCACGGGTCCCTGACCCTGTCCCTGTGTCCCAGGTGCGCTACACTCAGCTGGTTCGGAAGAAGCAGAAGACGCAGCACCGGTGCGTGCGGCGCACAGGGCGTGTGGGCTCACGCCGCTCCGGCTACGCCTTCTCCCACCAGGAGGGATTCGGAGAGCTAATCATGTCTGGCAAGAACATGCGGCTCAGCTCCTTGGCACTCTCTAGCTTTGCCTCCCGCCCCAGCACCAGCTGGATCGAGACCCTGTGGAAGAAGAAGGGCAGTGAGGGCAGCGGTGCCGGCAGTCCCAGTGGCACAGCTGACAAGACCCTCAAGGTGTGAGGGTGGAGGGTCACATCCCCTCCAGTGCAGCCGGGGCCCCCTTTCCTCTCCCCCTGACTCTGGGGAGGGCAAAGCCCTTTGTGGAGAGGGTCCCATGGTCATGTGGTCATGTCCCACAGGTCATGTGGGCATCAATGCTGAGGTTTGGAGGAGTCTGGACTATCACATTGTAGCCAAAAAATATACTCTTTCCCTCCCTGGGGCAGATGGACGGACAGACTGACCTCATCCCCCATTTACTCCTCTGTCAGTATTCACTTCCACGGAGTGCAAATGCCCCATCACACACGAATGTATCCATGCCAGAGGTGGAGGGGCCTTGGGGGGCCTGTGGCCCCCTCGCCATCCCTCACCCACGTGTCTTCTTTTTATATAAACAAAGGGAAAAAACACCCACAAAAAAATAGCAACCAAAAAAAATAGCAACCAAAAAAAAAAAAAAAAAAGAAAGGAAGGAAAAGCCCTCCAAGTTTACAGAGCAACTTGTTTCTTGTCCAATTGGGTAGGAGAGAACGGGCAGGGGAGGAAGGTCACCCTCCTTGTCCCTCCACCTCGGGGTACAGCAGGACGGTGGGTGCCGGGTGGGAAAGGGGAAGCGTTCCCGTGCTACAGGGACTGGAGTGTTGGCGGCTGCCGTGATTCACTCCCACGCGGGGTCTTGCGCAACCCTCGGCCTCTGCTTCCTCCCTCCTCCTTGCCAGCTCCCGCGGGACTGAGCGCTCCTGGGCTGTGGGTGGGCACTGGGGGATCCCCCAGGGGTCTCCGAGGGTGTTGGGGTCCCGGAGACGCAATACCAAAGATGGGCCTGTTGAGGCGGGTGTTGGTGAGGTCTGGAGGGGGTTTAGGGGCTGTTTGGGGTTATTTCGGTGGAGGGGTGGATAATTTATTGCTCGTTTCTGTGTGGCGGAATTGTATCATTTTATGGTTCCACTGAGAAAAAAAAGAACCAAAAGCCAGCTTTTTTTTTTATTTATTTAAAAAAGAAAATAATATTCTGAGCAGCTTCTGCCGTGTCCTGTGTCCGGTGGAATACCGGGGGGGGGGGAAACCGGGGACGGGAGGGGGCGGTGGCGGCTCGGTCCGCCCCCCGGTGCCGCTGTCCCCGCCCCCCCGGGCGCACGTGCAGCCTCCGCCCCTCCGCCCGGTTTCACAAGCGCGGGCACCGGCGGCCCCGCTGATGTTTTTCTGTCCGGGACCGGGCGCATGGCGAGGCCGCCGGGGCCGCTCCTCCTCCCCCGCCTCCTCCTCCTTCTCCTCCTCCAGTTCGCCGCCGCCGGGCGGCCCTGTGGCCCCTCCGGTGAGTGCTACCGGCACCGTGCAGGGTGGGGGTGGAGAACCCGACCCTCTCCGGGTACCGGGGCCCCACGGGTCCGGACACGGCGAGGAGACACATGCGGTTCCCTACCTGTCCCGCAAGAGCCTGGCGGGTGGGAATACCGGGCACCCCTGGGGGTGCTGGAGAGGGGGGTTAAGGTGGGTGCTGGGGCTGGGGGACTGTGTCCTGAGTGCTGTGTCGTGGTGCCGGGTGGGTGCTGGATGCCCTATGGTGTGTCCTGGGTGCTGTGTCCTGGGTGCAGGGTGCGTTCTCAGCAGCAGGAGCCGAAGGGAACAGCAGGTCCACGCCGGCCGTTGACCTTTGGAGGGAGCTCAGGCCTGACTGGGGCCGCCAGCCAGCGCTGCCGCTTAACCCCTCCGGCACCACCCGCCCCAGTCTGCCACCTCCCTGAGCCGTGCTCTTCACCGCCAGACCCCTCAATACACACCGCGTTTGATGCTGCGGTGCCCGTCCCTACGGCGGTGACGGTGGTCTGGTGCCCCACTCCATGGGGAACTGCTGCCTCTCTTTCCAGCTCAGTGCCTTGACCCTGAGCAGCCACTGGACGTGGGGAACAGATGGTGGGGTGCCCCCCTCATCTGGGGACACTCACTGCACTCGAGGTCTCATCTTGATCACCTGACCCCCTCTTGCCCTCACAGGACTGTCGCGGGACGTGGTGTTGGGCCGCCTGGGAGCCAACATCACTTTGATCTGCAGGGACGAGGTGCCCGCAAATGTCACAGTGCGGTGGCAGGTGGAGGAGCGGGGAGCAGCAGTGCCGGGGGGCCGTGGACGGCGGCTGGCAGAGGGCAACGTGCTGCTCCTGCGGTGGCTGCGCTACGAGGACTCGGGGCGCTACGTCTGCTCTGTGGGGAGCCGCCTGCTGCGCTCCCTGCGGCTGCTGGTGGAAGGTGGGTCCACGCCGGGGTAGGGATGTCCCTGGCAGCATTGCCCGCTATGGCCCCTGTCCTTCAGCACCTCCTTGCTTTGCAGAGCCCCCTGAAACCCCCCGAGTGTCCTGCTACCGACGGAGCCATGACAAGGATGTCCTGTGCGAGTGGCCACAGCAGACGAAGCCGTCCCCGGGGACACGGGCAATGCTCTGGGTGAAGCGTAGGTGAGCCACTGTCGCTGCATCCACCATGGGCTGGGACCCCACAGCACAGAATGTGTCCCCATGGACCCTTCCCCCCAGTGCCATCTGGAACGCCACGGCTCAAGATGCTTCCCTCTCTTCAGACCCTTTCCCTAGCAGCTACTGGGAGCTGGGACCCCACAGCATGGGATGTATTCCTTCCCCACTGACCCCTTCCCCCATGTTGCCTGGGACCTCATGGCACGGAACATTTCCCTCCCCACAGAGCCTTTCCCCTGTGCTGCCTGGGACTCCACAGCATAGGATGCATCCCCTGCAGCTGCCCCATGCCTGGTTTGGTGCGTGCTGCAGCCCCCACTGAGCTGTGGCCCCACAGGTTCACGGCTGAGAACGCCACAGAGCAGCGGTGCCGCTACTTCTCCAAGGCACGGAAGTTTGTTTGCCGGGTGAAGGTGCCACCTGGCACCGAGGACACCAAACACCTCGTGGTGTCCACATGTGTCAGCAACAGCGCCAGTGGCTTGGCCGGCGAAGACAAGATCATCACCCTCAGCGGTGTCCGTGAGTGCTGCCCCTCTTGCTGGGGGCTGGGGTGGCCGAGGGCACAGTGCCAGGCCCTGAGCCCCCCCTTCCCCAGCAGTGAAGCCTGATCCTCCCCTCAATGTGACGGTGGAGGCGCTGGAGAAGGCGCCTCAGTGGCTGCGGGTCAACTGGTCCTACCCCTTGTCCTGGGACCCCCGTTTCTACTGGCTCCGCTTCCAAGTCCGCTACCGCCCTGAGCCTGCCCCAGCCTTCATGGAGGTGAGACCCCTCTCCCTAGAATCCAGCTGTTGCTGGTCCCTGTCCAGGCTGTCCCCAGCCCCATGTCCTCTCTAGGTGGATCAGGTGACGACAACGTGGCTGGACATTCGTGATGCGTGGCGGGGGACGAAGCACGTGGTGCAGGTGAGGGCGCAGGACGAGTTCGGCCATGGCGCATGGAGCGAGTGGAGTCGGGAGGCTGTGGGCACCCCCTGGACAGGTACGAGTGGGACACAGAGCCCTGAGGGTGGAGGCTCTGTGTGGGGTCCCCCAGCCTCATGCTCCCCTCTCGTCTCGTCTTGCAGACCCCAGGGACTTCACCTCTGAAAAGGGACCTTTCAGCTCACAGGTGGGATGGCCTCAGCCCTGGGGGCTACAGCATACTCCTGTCCCCATGTGGGACAAGGTGTTACCAAGGGCGTGGGGGCTGCCCCATGCCATTGTGCACCCCTGCTTTCTTTTGCAGTTCCCCATGGAAGATGACAGCTATGAGGTGACACTGCTCCCAGAGCTCTTCTGGGAGGACCGTGCTGATGGTGCTGATGGTGAGGAGGGGTTCCTGGGTTGGGGGTGGGGGTCTGGGACACCACCCAGGTACCCCATCCACGCAGTGAGCCCATCCATTCTCTCTGTGTCAGGGTCTGTCATGGAACCCAGTGCCCATCCTGTGGCATCCCCCTATGCCTTCCTGGTGGCCGGGGGGAGCCTGCTCCTGGGCATTGCCCTCTTTGTTGGCATCGTGGTGAGGTGAGTGCTGGGGAGTGACTGGCCAGGGGGCTCTGTCTGGCCCCCCTGACACAGACTCTCTGCCCTTGCAGGTACAGGCAGATGTGGTGGACAGGCAGGCAGCGGGGGACCAAGCCGGAGGGTGAGGGGCAGCATATGCTGGTCCCCCTGGGCCTCCCTAGTCCCCCACTCAGTGACACCCCCCTGCTCTCATGCCCCACCCCCACGGCCCCTGGAATGCTCCACATCACCCACTTGGACTATTCCTCTTCAAGGCAGTAGCCAGGGGCTGAATGTGCTGGCAGGTGCTTTGGGGGTCAGGTGGGGGTTGCTCGCCCCAGGATTCCCAGGGCTGTGATGTGGCTCTGGGAGCAGCTCCCCCCACCATCCGGTGGCTCTGTGGCTGGGAGCAGCCTCTGAGGAGGGGAATCAGTGCCACCCCTGTGGAGAAGCAGTTGGGGGGGAACCCCAAACTGGGTCCTGGAGGGCACCTTCAGAGCCATGGCCGGTGGTGGCAGCACTGGAAACACGGCTGTGCCGGAGCGTGGGAGCCGGCCCGGGGTCAGGTTTGAGGATCCCAGGGGAACGGCCTAGTCCCTGCAGTGCCACAGGGGTCAGGGAGGGAGGGGGGGCCTGGCTGGATCAGCCCCATGCTTCTGCTCTGGCCCCCCCGGGGCTCCTTTTTAAAGCATATGTTGGGGAAATGAGACAATGTGGCTCCAATAAATGCTTTGGATTTGTACCGGAATGGATGCTGAGGGGGGGAGTAATGGAGGGATCACTGCAGCGCCCCCTTGCCTGGGAGTGACTCCAGTGTGGGGGGGTGAGAGTGGGCTGTGTAGCCCCAGTCCATGCACCCTCTGCCTTGCTGTGCCTCCCAACTGCACTGTGTACCCCACAGTGTGCTCCCTGTACCTCCAGTGCCTCCCAGGCTGTACCCCCTGTGCTGTGCACCCCCTCCGCCACAAACCCCATGCCATGAACCCTCAGGCCATGCCCCCTCTTCTATGCAGTGCCCACCCCACACTGGGTTGTGCAACGCCCCAGAGAGCTGCAGCTGCACCCGGGGAGGAAACCACAGGGTGAGGGTAGCGGGTGTTCAGGCGCCCTGGGGACAGCGTTCCCCTTCCCCTCCACCGGCCCCCTGCTATAAAAAGCCTAGCAGGATGCAGATGTGTGGCTGGGGGAGCCCCAGTACCCCTGGCCCCTGAAACTGTGGCGACTCTTCCTGGCACAAGCCCAATCCCAGCCATCTGGGACTGCTGGCCCTTCTCAGCCAACAAATTTATTTTACTATACCGTTACACATCCCAGTCTCGCTGTGTTCCCCCACCCTGGGCAGCCCCGTGGCCTGTCAGCTCTGGCACAGGGTGGTCAGGATTTGTCCTGGCAAAATCCCAACAGCCCTGCTGGAGTCCAGGATCAAGGTCATGACTTGACAGAGGCATTCCCTCTGGACCCTCCCCGTGGCATGTGGCCATCTCCATGGGCAGACCTGCCCCGTATGACAGGAGTGGAGGTTGCAGATCAGTCTGGGGGGGCATCAGCGGGCACTAATGCAGCTTGCAGTGGACAGGGTGCAACAGGGCCATGTGCTCGGCCCCCTTGAAGGGCAGCTTCTCAGTGGAGTAGTAGTGCACGACCTCAGGGATGCTGGCGAAGACGCCGCTGGCCTGGCTGAGCGTGTACTTGTTGTCCTTGGTCTGGGCTACAATGATGTGGACGCAGCCCTGGCTGGTCCTGGGCGGCCAGCGGGCATCAGCTTTGCCGCCGGCCCCCCGGCGCCCGTCTGCCCCGCGGCCGCATCCACCCCTGTTTGTTCCCGTCCTGCTCTGATTGTTTCAACTCCAGGGGCTCCACTTCCTCAGGAAGGAAACGCCACTGGCGCTCCTGACAATGTGCCGGGGAGGGGTACACACCACCCCCCACCCCCCGCCCCAGTGCCACACCAGGATGCCTGGGGTCCCTCCGTGGGTCTGGGGGTGCCATACCATGGGATCTGGGTCCTCCCTTCC